TTGCCTAGCAACGGAAGCCTGACTTCCAAGGCTCTGGGCCAGTGGGCTCTGGGAGCCCCTCCCCTCTTCCTGGGCAGGGCCCTGTCAGACCTCACTGGTCCCTTACGAGGCCCTCTCCAACCAATATATAAAACGCCAGCTCCTCCCCCAACGCTCACACTTCCCGGTTCCTTCTTAGATCCATTTCTTTTCTCCTCAGTGTATTCTACGACGTAAGATGTGTCCGTTCAGGGCTGGGCCCGTCAAAGCTGTCCAACAGCCCCAGTGAACCGCAGACCTCAGACTTCTGATAAACAGGGATTACAGAGGTGAGCTACCTGCCGGCCCTGGGATCTGCACTTCTCACTCACCACCCTCTTCGTTCTGCTATTTGGGTTTCTGGCCATTTCTGCGTGTCCAGCAATCAGCACACATGAATCTGGTTCATGCCTGTGGAGCTGAACAGGACTTTCCAGTTACCTCTGGGGAATTTCTAAGCTCTGCCCCCCCCAACAGAAACCACCTCATTTTAATCAAATATTAGTTAAACTCTACATTTTTCTTCTGGGATTTGTTTTTGTTTTGTCAAGGGTGGGACTTTGAACTCAGGGCCTGGGCGCTGTCTCTGAGCTCTTTCACTCAAGGCTGGTGCTCTACCACTTGAGCTCCATTTCTGGCTTTCTGGTGGTTTACTGGCAGTAAGTCTCATGGGCTTTCCTGCTGGGGCTGGCTTCAAACCATGATCCTCAGTTCTCAGCCTCCTGAGTAGCCAGGATTATAGACGTGAGCCACCAGTGCTTGGCTACTTTAAAACATTTCAAAGATCAGTATTTTGATTGGATTTTTTAAAAACTAGGGAAGGTTTTCCCTGAGTAGAGAAAGAGAAAAGGAGGATTTGTGAAAACTACCAATTCCTTAAGCATCTTCTTCCTGAGCACTGGATAATTCTTCAGGTGCTAACAGTGAATCTTCTCTGTATGAGTTACAAGTAATTAGCAAAACGTAAATCTGTGTCATTGATAGGTAGACCTGTTCTCTGACGTGGTCTCCAGGGCAGAAAAGCACACCACACCCAACAAGTAGATCCCGAAAATTTATTATTTGGGCAAATACCGATCTTCTGTTGTACAGCTCGTAAAATAATCAGAAAATAGACATTTTGAAATGGAAAGTCAGAAAGAAATAATTCCATATGGTACGTATTACAGAAATAGGTTTATTACGAATGCAAGGTGTACTAAAAGCGTATTTCTGGTCTACACTAAATGAACCATGGTAATCTGCTGCTAAAAGCTTGTTGCAGCTCAAATCTTTGTAAGGTCAACCAAGAAAGAAAGGAGAAATGCTTTAGGGCTCTTATGTCTACCTGTAAACCTATATAGATATAGATATATATTTTTTCCTCTTTCCCCTCCCCCCAATATGTCTATACTTTATTGCCTTAAATAATTCTGCTGGTTTAATACAATTAGTATACTAAATATCTGCATTTATTTGGCTTCTAAAAATATAAAAAATGCATTGGAAAGAAGAGATCCTCGCTGCTTCCATGCATTCTAAATCCTGGCATCAAAAGCTTTTTGGGGACTGGAAAGCATTAACAATGGCCACAGGTACATATGACTTCTGACACAGCTTGCAAATTAAAAAAAAATAATGTGGCAAACAGTCTACATGCAACTTAAACAAAAACAACAAAACCCTGACATCATATAAAAGTACTATGAGCTACACTTTAGTATAATGGAGACTGATAACAATTTTAGGCAGAAGCGGGTACATACACAATGTCATTCATTACTGACACATAAATTAAGGCAATGTACAATCTGTACTTCACTGGTTCATTTGTCCACACCCTTGGCAGGATGGAGACGTAAGCATTTGCCTTTTCCATATTATTTCCATTGTGGTTCTTTCTTGGAAAGGTATTCATTCATTCATTCATTCATTCACAGAAGTGGCATTGAAAAGAAAGAATTCTATTCTCTAAAGACCATTTTATTCACAAAGAAAGCTATTTGGACACAGGAATATCTTTTCATCTGACTTGAGACAAGTGCTCATTTGTTTATCGTTGCTATGCTTCACGCTTCATAATGTAAATTTCATTATTTTTACTGTGATTTATATATATATATATATACACATATATATATACACACACACAGTCTTGTTTTAGCTCTGGTTTGTAAGTACAAGAATTGACAATTTTTCTCATGGATGTTGGCAATTTAGAGCAAGGTATATTAACACTAATGTTTCACATACAAAAAAAAATGTCCTGTCCATCCATCAAGACAAAAAAAATGCTGACTATCCAAAATATCTCACAAAAAAAAAATGAAAAACTGAGGTAATCTGCCACATATCATTCGCAGAGGAAGAGGATACTCAAGGGAAAAAAAAGGACCAATATTTAAATTATTCCTTGGTGAGGAAGAACTATTTTTAAATATACTTTAATAGTTGTAGAAAACCTGTAAAACAACCTGCAGTGTAAAGTAAAAAAAATCCCTACAAAAATTTGCAATCTTATTATTTAGAACCTGAATATTCCCCTAGACCTAAAAATGGCATCTTTGAAGCCAAGCAATTGTAGCTACTCAGGAGGCTGAGATCTAAGGATCATGGTTCAAAGCCAGTCTGGACAGGAAAGTCCATGAGATTCTTATCTCCGATGAACCACCAAAAAGCCAAAAGTGGAGCTGTGGCTCAAATGGTAGAATGCCAGTCTTGAGGCCAAAAGCCAAGTGAGAGTTCAAGCTCTAGTCCCGGCACACAGAAAAAAATGATTTCTTATGGTTCTGTGTGCCATCACCTGCTGCGGTGCTGCCCGTAGGTGACAAATTAATTCATTAGTATTCCCAACAGGTAAAAAGGATCCCAGACTAAAATGCTTTGAAGTTGTCCCTACAGAAGTTAATTTTTTGATTAAAAAAAAAAAGGATTTAGAAAATATCCCTTACTTAGGTAAGAATTGGTTAAAAAGTACAGCTTCTCGATGAACTCATCAATTCACCTCTACACAGCCTCGCACCCACGGAGTCCTATTTCTGTTATTTAGGTCCACAGAGATGATTTTGGCAGCTTATAAACTCTGATGAAGAGCCAGGCAGTGGCTCACTCCTGGAAGCCCAGCGACACAGACGGTTGAGATCTGAGGACTGTAGTTCAAAGTCAGACTCAGCGGGAAAGTCTGCGAGACTCTCATCTCCAGTGAACCAGCAAAAAGCTGGAAGTGGAGCTGTGGCTCAACTGGCTGAACCCAGCCTTGAGTGAAAATGGTAAGGGACAGCGCGCCCAGCTCTGACTTCGAGTCCCAGCACTGGCACAGGAAAAAAGCAAAGAGAACTGTGACAGGGAACTCAGGATTCGTGATAGGAGGATGCCTGCGGTTTTCCTTAGCATGATTCCTTTACTTGAGTCCATCTAACTCACGGTAACTGACGGACATTGGCAATTTCTAACTGTGAAGTTTGACATGCCTCTGATTTAACATCTGGATGTCAAGGGAATGCCACTGATTTTATAAAGCGTTTTGGGTTTTTTTCTTTGTGAATAAGGTCTCAAATTCTCTGAAAAGCCATAAAATGAGTTATATAGGATGCATGGGACCCTAAAAATAAGGCATATCGTGGGTATACGTCGCTCATCTTATCACAAAAGCTATAAAGTACTCTGATTTTGAATTAGCTCCTTTTTTTTACATATACATAGATATGAAATAACTACTACAGATCAAGAGCAGGTGGTTACAGGCAATAGTTATTTATGTAAAAAGTATTAATTTCTCAGTTCTTTGCAAAGCAGCTCAACGGCCAAATCAGTAACTCTAGAACCTCAAAAGGATCGTATTTTCAGACCACTATCGGGATGAGAAAAAGGCCACAAGATATGACTTTCCATTTTCTAGAAGCTTCTCTATATATTTCCTAGCCATTCTGAACAATTTTTCATAGGAAATTAAATTAAGCAGCATACCCAGCATTCAATGAAGCCAAAACAAAGTCAAATATGTTCAAATGCCCATAGCTGCCTTCATGCATAAGATATTTCTCTCTTTATAGTTGCCAGGGCATTACTCTATAGATCTACATTTATTTCATGGCATGTAATTAATAGAAAACATGTGAATTTTCTTCAGAAATTAAACATTTCAGATACATATCTTAATTATCAGTACCAAATCTGATCAGAGGGATGGAACAATGGCTGAGAGCTATCTGGCAATAGGTGTCTAAATGTTATTTGTGAATCTTACCTAAGTCATCATTTTTGGTTTTATAAATAAAATGATGTATGTATAAGTAGCGATCACTGTCTTTTATAAAAGTCAACTTAAAAACATACTCTTGACTTCTATCAAAAAGAGAGTATCTAAATCTAATCTCCCCTTTGTCTCACTGACCAGAGAAAACACATTTGTCGGTAATATAAATTATTTGCAAACCATTACTTACTTGGGGTGTCTATACCAAAAAACAAACACCCAAATATAAGTAAATTGTTTTAAAATACATCATTGGAAGCACTATTCCTAAAGTATGCTAATCTGTTCCTCAGCGATATGCAGCTCACATTTTATGTTAATTCTAAGGATCAGTGAAAGAAAAGGTAAAAACAGGGCTGAAACAAACCACAAAAGTATTAGAAAAACTCCATGCTTTTCTGGAGAGATAGTCAACATTTTACATTTTTGTTCAACAGCATAGGAAAGACTTGAAAAACCTTTTTCATATACAAATTTACTCATGAGAAACATATTTAAAATGGTGTGTGGTGATTTCTACATTGGGAACTACAGAAAAGGAAAACTTACATCCCCGATGAAAAAGGAATCTGCAGTTGGTGCCAGTGGCTCACGCCTGTCGAGGATCCCAGGTCAAAGCCAGCCTGGGAAGGAACATCTGTGAGCCAGACTCGTCTCTCCAATGAATTTCACTGGGAAAAAAAGCTGGAGGTATGGCTCAAGTGGTAGAGTGCTAGTCTTGAGCAAACAAAGCCAAGGGAGAGCAGGAGGTGCTGGGTTCAAGACTCAGTACTGACACACACAGACACACACACACAGAAAAACTAAAACATGTGAATGACTTCAGCAAATGAGGCAGTGACTGCAGATTCAGAGATTCATAAAACACAAGCAAAGGTTCTATGGCGTTCAGTCTGGATGCTGAGCACGCAGCATCTGTAAGAAAACCACACCGGACGGAATCTTGCATAAATCATACAGTATTTAACATAATGAAGTCACAGGACCAGTAATGAGTATTAAAACAGCAACATTCACACACTGATCGGTTCTATGGAATAAATTAAACTTACATTGCTCATGTATTTCTCTTTTACTTCTTAACTCACAATTTATGTATACACGTAGTAGACTTCACTAATGCTCTTAAAAATGCTACAAATAATAATAATAAAATAAATGATAATAAAAAGCTTTACATTACAGCTGCTGGACAAAAATGTCAATACTGTTGATTGGAGGAAATACTTTCTTTGTTTTTGAACGTCAGTGCACAGAGTATGGCTCCACGCGATATGCAGTTGAGGAGAGAAATAAAGACAGGGTGGACGGGCGGCAGGTCAGCAAACGCGATCCCCTGGATGGTCGTTGGTACAAATGAAAGAGGAGGAAGTTCTCAGTCCTGGGTACCTTTATTGGCTCATTCTCTCCCCCAGCTGTTATACATAGATGCCTTCAGGGTTAAAGCCGGAAGAGAGAGGGCTCTGCAGAATGCGGAGATTGCCGGGGAGCTGTCGAGATGAACTGGGTCGCTTCAGGGACCCGGCCTGAAACGGTGTCTCTAAATATAGGAAAGAAAGACAATTACTGGTGCCCCTGCTCACATGGAAGAATCTTAGCAAAAGAACCACGCGGTTTAGCTCCGGCCTGGGGGCCTCTGACTGCTGAACAGAGCAGGGGGTCACTCCCTCCTGGGGGCCTTGGGGGAGGGCGCTGCATCTGCTGCTGCGAGGGAACACCCAATAGTGGACAAACTGGCTTTGGTAATACAGGATCAGTCCATGGCATTATCATAAGGATGCATTTCAGCGGGGTGCCGGTAATCCCGGCTGCTCACGTGGCTACGATTTGAGGATCACGGTTCAGAGCCAGCTGAGTCAGAGAAGTCCATGGGACTCTTTATCTCTAACCAGCCAAAAGGTGCAAGTGGAGTTGCAGCTCAAGTGGTAGAACACCAGCCTGGAGCAGCAAGGCTCAGGGATAGAATGTAGGCTGTGAGTTCAAGCCCCAGGACTGGGACCAAAGAGGACGTCCACTCTGGATGGTGAGATACTGTTCCCTCTGCTGAGAGTTCCGCTCGGTTCATCTACCTGCTAAGGCCTTACCCCTCTCGACGTCCGGGGGGGCCTCAACCTCGGTGGGCTCGGCCGGGAGCACGGTGACTTTGGTGCCTGTCTGCTGGATGAACTGCTGGAGGTTCACCTGCCGCAACTCTTTGGTCAGCTGTTCTAATTCTTGTTCTTTGTCCTAAATGCAAATGCCACGGTCAGTGTGTATGTGCACGTGCACACACACACACGTACACACCAGTACAGAGCCTTGCACTCTTGCTTGGCTTCTCTGGTGCTCTACCATTTGAGCCACACCTCCCTGTCTGGCTTTTGGTTGGTTAACTGGAGAGAAGAGTCCTTTAGACTTGCCTTTCCAATTGGCTTGGAACTATGATCCTCAGATCTCAGCTTCCTGAATGGCTAGGATTACAGGCGTGAGCCACTGTGCCTGGCCTCTTGGTTGTTTGTCTGTCTGTTTACTTGTGTTTTTAATGTGAGGATTTACTAAGTGAACTGGCTGAACGGATTCAGTAAGCTCCGGGATGTCTCCATCACACTGCGGTGAGGGCCACGAGCCAGGGAAGGCTCCGGCAGTAACTTCGCTCTGCCCCGTTTACCGCAAAGCTTTTCAGGCAAACTCGAACCCCAGTTAGCTCTAACTCACCCTGCACATTCATACACATTCAAGTCTGCAGACTTCAGTAAGATAAACAAAACACTGGGTGCCGGGTGCCTGTGGCTCACGCCTGTCATCCTAACTACCCAGGAGGCTGAGATCTAAGGATCATGGTTCACCAGCCAAAAGGCCATGAGACTCTCATCTCCAATGAACCAGGAAAAATCTGCAAGTGGAGTTGTGGTTCAAGTGGTAGAGCACCAGCTATGAGTGAAAAAGCTCAGGGACAGCACCAAGGTACACGTGCTCACACGCACACATGCACGCACACACACACACACAATCTTACTGTTTTAACACATTTATTTCTTCCTTTTTCTTCCTTCCAGTAACAATACTGAGGCTGGAACTCAGGCCTTGAGTGCTGTTGCTTAGCTTTACCCCACAAGGCTGGCACTGTGGCCACACTTCCACTTCTGGCCTTTTGATAGTTATCTGGAGAAGAGAGTCTTAACCTTCCTGCCCGGGCCTGAGCTCCTGAGCAGCTGGGATTACAGGCATGAGCCACCAACACCTGGCTTGTTTTAAAGAATTTAAATTTAAAATAGCTGCTTATAATTGAGTCTCTTGACTAACATCCCAGAGAGACTGTTTGATACAACTTCGTTAAGACTCCTATCTTAACCACACAGCCTTCAAGACTGGATATTCAAGTCGGGCACCAGTGGCTCATGCCTGGCTACTCAGGAGGCTGAAATCTGAGGATCAAGGTTCAAAACCAGCCCTAGCTGGGAGGGCTGGGAGATTCTTATCTCAAACCACCAGGAAACTGGAAGTGGGGCTGTGGCTCAAGTGGTAGAGCACTAGCCTTGAGCAAAAGAGCTCACAACAGCACCCAGGCCCTGAGTTCAAGCCCTAGGACCAGCACACATGCACACAGCCAGGCAAAAAATAAACATCTAGGAATTCTAAATGGAGTGATCCGTGATGAATGAATACATACTAGGGGAGACACCCAGAGAGTTAATTTTTTTCTTTTTTTTTTTTTTTTTTGGTCAGTCATGGGGCTTGAACTCGGCCTGGGCGCTGTCCCTACGCTCTTCAGCTCAAGGCGAGCGCTCTACCACTTGAGCCACAGCGCCACTTCTGGTTTTCTAGTGGTTTAGGAGATAAGAGTCTCACGGACTTTCGTGCCTGGTATGGCATTGAACCATGATCCTCAGATCTCAGCCTCCTGAGTAGCTGGGATGACAGGCGAGAGCCACTGGTGTCCAGCCAGAGAGTTAATTTTTGTACTCCTCTTCCAGACAAAGCACAGGGTGGGGGTACTCGGGAGAGGAGGAGGAGGAGAGGGACTGTGGAGAGGAGGAGGAAGAGGAGGGGGCACTGTGGAGAGGAGGAAGGGACTAAATCTCAGGCTGGAGCTGGGCCGGCCACAGCAGAGCAATGGCCAGGCCAGCCCGCCCTGGTGAGCAGGCTCCTGGTGCTGAGCTTAGCTTTGGATCTTTGCCTTGAGAAGGGGAAGGGACCCGCGACCTGCACTGCCAGCCTGCGCCAGGCCCAGGCCTAAGGCCTGCGGAGCAGGACTCGCCCAGCCAGGCCCAGGCCTAAGGCCTGCGGAGCAGGAATCGCCCAGCCAGGCCCAGGCCTAAGGCCTGCCGAGCAGGAATCGCCCAGCCAGGCCCAGGCCTAAGGCCTGCCGAGCAGGAATCGCCCAGCCAGGCCCAGGCCTAAGGCCTGCCGAGCAGGAATCACCCAGCCAGGCCCAGGCGCGTCAGCCTTTCTGCTCTTCTCAGGTAAGCCTGGTCACAGAATTCCAGGACGTCAGCCCCACTGCTAACTTTCACTAGACAGAAAGCCCTGAAAACAAAGCAATGGTCGGGGAAGGACAGTTTGAGAATGGAAACACAACTGTGTGCCTGTCCCGAGACTCGAACTCAGGGCCTCAGGCTCTCCCCACTGGAGCGACAACTCCGCTACTGGCTTTTTGCGGGTTCACCGGAGAGTTCCAAGGACTTTCCTGAGCAGGCTGGCTGCGCACGACCACCCTCCCACCTCGGCCGCCTGGGCAGCTGAGCTGGCAGGCCTGTGCCCCAGTCCTGACGCTCCCCGTGGTTACCTGCAGTCGCTTGGTGACTTGCCCCAGAGACCTCTCCACAGCCTTGATCCCGTTCTCCAGCCGCTGGCTCTGCTGGCCCTGCAGGTCAATCTCCCCCCGGACCTTGCCGATCTTTCCTTTAACCTCCTCTTCGTTGACTTGGGCCTTCTGAACTTCCTGCTGCAATTTCTCTGCTTCAAGACCGTTTTCTATCGACTGGATTTGGGCCACATAGTCTTTCAGTTTGCTCTCGCAGTCCGTGATCTTCTGCCTTATTTCCTGAAGCTGATCTTTCAGCTGCTTTTCATTTTCTTGCTCAATCTGCAATTCATTTTCCCAAAACTCTTCCTCCTCGATTTCCACGGCGTTCCGTTTGATCTTTTGCTCAAGGCGGATGATCTCTTCTTCCAAGTTTGAGTGATACTTTTGTTCCCAAAATCGGATCTCGAGTTCATTCGATTCCAGCTGCTTCTCGATGGACTGGAGTTGCTCGGTCTGCAGGCGGATCAGCTTCTTCAGCTCATCGGCAGTCGCTCTGCAACTATTTAACACCTTTTGTTTGAATTCAGTTTCTTTCCCTTTCCCAAAGATGTCCATTAAGCCTTTGGCCCCTCCGGTGAAAGTCAAAGATTTCCTCTTGGGCTCTCTCCTCTTGATGGCCTTGTCTCCCGGGGGCCTCAGTTTGGCTAAGGGGGGCAGACTCTGTCTGTACAAAGTTCTTTCTGGAATGCGGGCCACGCTGTCAGAAGTGGGGCGCTCACTGAGCGACGGCCCCGTTCTTCGCAGAATGAGCTGCACGTCGCTCGCATACTGCCCCCATTTATTCAAAGAAATGATCGGGTTTTCGTGAGGTGCGAGATGCCTTTCAGTATCTCTCCATTTTTCTATGAGGGTGTATCTTCCAGTTCGACCTAGATTGAGAAAAACATGACACTGTCAAAATGGGACTTGTAGGAACTAAGCCAAGGCAACATATCGTTTGATAACTGTAGGTTGTGTGTCTGCCCGTCCATCCACCCATCCTCTATCTATCTATCATCTATCTATGCATGCATCCATCTATCTATTTTAGTTCCAAGATTGTGATTGGAACTCAGTACCTGATGCTTTGAACCATTGGCTGGCGCTCTACCAACTGAGCCACTACTCCATCCAATCCCTCTTTTTGCTTCTGTGCCAGTACTGGGACTTGAACTCATGGCTTTGTGCAGTGGGCTGGCCGTTTTCTGCTTAAAGCTGGTACTCTACCTCATGAACCAAGCCTCCATTTCTGGTTTTTTGCTGGTTAACTGGAGATAGGGAGTCTCGTGGATTGTCTGCTCAGGCTGGCTTCAAACCTCAGCTCCTCAGAGCTCAGCCTTCTGAGTGGCTAGGATTTATAGAGGTGAGCCTCCGGCACTGGGCAATGATCCTAGTTATTATTATTACAAAGAAAATGGATCTCGCAACTTCGTAATTATACTGTATATATATCATATTATATATGAGGCAGTAGACTTCCCTTTCTTTTTTACCTTCCCCCTGAACCCCAGTTTCAAATGCTTCTGAACCAATAGCATTTTCTCCCTTACACTTTCAGTAAGTGGATATCTGTATGTAGGAATATAAATATTAGTGTACCTTAAACTGAAACAGGACATATGCTCAAGCATATGGCAATCTTCTCCTTTAAGGAATGTAAACCTTGAGTACAGTTAAAAGGTGTGTGTGTGTGTGTGTGTGTGTGTGTGTGTGTGTGTGTGTGTGTGTGTGTGTGTGTGTGTACAGAGGCTTGAACTCAGGGCCACAGTACTCTCTCCTGGCTTTGACACTCCAGGCAAGGTGCTCTACTACTTCAGCCATGCCTCCACGTCTAGCTTTGTTTTGTTGGTTAACTTGAGATAAGTCTCACAGACTAAGGCTGCTTTGAACCCTGACCCTCAGATCTCAGCCTCCTGAGTATCTGGGATTACAGACGGGAGCCAGCACCCAGTGAGTGTTATGCACAATCAGCGATTCTGAATCTCTTAGGCATTCAACACTAGCAAGCGCTGAATCTCTTAGGCATTCAACACTAGCAAGCGCTCGTGTTGGGGGCATATTAAAAACTATGTTGATTATCTGTAATAATCTGATGTATTACATTTTATACACGTACGACAAACTTTCCTATAGACATGCATGTTTTTATACTAACAGATGCTTTGCTCCTGCAGCCATAAAAACTTCCATGAGAGTTTCATGAACCTATGCTACAGCAGGGCCCAGTGGCTCACGCCTGTAACCCCAGCTGCTCAGGAGGCTGAGATCTGAGGGTCGCAGCTTGAAGGATCAGGGAAGTCTGATCAAGAAAGTCCAGGTGAGACTCTTCATCTCCAATTAATCACAGAACAAGGTGGAAATGATGCTGTGGCTCAAGCTTCCGAGCAAGAGGAGCTCAGGGACAGAGCTCAAGATCAGAGTTCAAGCCCCAGGACCGGCAAAAAACAAGCAAGCAAGCAAGCAAGCAAGCAAACAAAAAACCCAAATCACAATAACAAAAGAGGAAATACAGATTCATGATAGAGAGCCAGCCATGAGCAAAAAAAAGCCCAGGAACACCATTCAGGCCCTGAGTTCAAGCCTGGGTATCAGCATGCAAACAGTCCAACAAACCAACAAACACTATTATTTCTTGCAAGAGAAATAAAGTAAAAATATTGTGAGACTGGCCAGCCCCTGTGGCTCGCGCCTATAATCCCAGCTGCTCAAGAGGCTGAGAGCTGAGGATCACAGTTCAAAGCCAGCCTGGGCTGGAAAGTCCACGAGACTTACAGAAAACCAGAAGTGGTGCTGTGGTTCAAGTGGTAGAGCACCAGCCTTTGATCGAAAGAGCTCTGGGACAGGGCCCAGGCCCTGAGTTCAAGCCCCAGAAGTGGCGCTGGGAGGGCAGGCACCGAGTCGCGGACCTACCGATGGCCTGTGCTAAGGCTATGACCACGTCCTGGCAGGTGGTGGCTTCGGTGACCCCGCAGACGGTCCTCTGGACTCCGTCCACCCACACCTTCAGCTCCATGGCGCGCAGCAATCCCCGGGGGCCCCGGGCGCGGGCATCAGGAGCTCAGGTCATGTCTCCGGCTCTGCCAGTGGGGAAGGTCAGACCTGTAGTCAGCTGAAAGAGACAAGGCGACGCAGAGGTGACTTTCATGCCCTTGGTCCTGAGATCTGAACTCAGGGCCTGGGCGCTGCTCCTGAGCTTTGTTTGTGACTCGGGCTGGTGCTCTACTGCTTGAGTCACAGCTCTATTTCTGGCTTTCTGGTGCTTAACTGGAGAGGAGTCGCTGGAACTTTCTGCCTGGGATGGCTTTGAACTGTGATCCTCGGATCTCAGCCTCCTGAGATTTTATTTTTGTGGTGCAGTCCTGGGGCTGGAACGCAGGGCCTAGGCGCTGCCCCTGAGCTCAAGGCTGGCGCTCTACCACCTGAGCCACGGCGCCACTTCTGGCTTCTCATTGGCTCATTGTAGGTAAGAGTCTCACAGCCTTTTCTGTCTGGGCTGGCCTCCTAAGTGGGGATTACAGCATTAGCCACTCATGCCGGGCTCAGTTTTTATGTTTGATATTGGGTTCAATTCAATAAATCGGCTGAAGTTAAGTCACAGATATGTCACCATACCACACTCCTTCCCAACCCACCCAGCCCCTCAAGTTACACGGTTCCATTTTTACCGATGGGTTTGTTATTTGAACCCGGGGCCTGGGCACTGTCCCTTCACCGTTTAGGTCACCACTTCCACCGATTTCCTGGTGAGCTGAAGAGTCTCACAGCCTCTCCTCGGGCCTCACCCTCTGGAGTAGCGAGGGTGGCCGGGAGCCAGGGCCCCACTACACAGGCTGAAAGCGGCTGTGGGTGTCTTGGGAGCGAACGCGTCCTGCCCGGCTGAGCTCGTGCCCTCCTCCCTGGGTTTGTGGATCTTATTAAACTGAAGTCACTGCTCACACACAAGACGCCATTAACAGCCGTGCTTTCCCGTATCTGTTGTTTTACCCAATGCTAGGTTAAAAAAAATTATCTCGGTTTCTGCCAGGCAGAAAGCTTTACATCCTTATGGCCAATGGCTTGTTTCTTGGTGTACAAACGTGAACGCAGTTGGCTTTCTCCCCATAGTTTACACCATTCTTCTCCACATATATTTTAAACAAATGTCAAGTCTTTGGGGGGGGGGAAATCCCTAACTAATCTAGGATTTATTTTGTTTGTCCATTGTTTGGGGGACTTTTTTTTTGTTACTTGGTGGGTTTTAAAGAATAACGTTAACGCTTGCGGGTTGTAGTAAAAGCTGATCTAATTGAGATGCAGCCTTAATGTGGATTCATGTGTGTGCACCAAGGGGTGTGCGTACCAGGACTGTGGCCTGTACTCTCCCTTGGACATTTTACTTCAGGCTGGCCCTGGCACGGAGCTTCCCCTTCACTTCCCCTTTTTGGTGGTTCACTGGAGATAGGAGTCTCAAGGCCTTTCCCACCCAGGCTGGCTTTGAACTGTGATCCTCCTATCTCAGCCTCCCAAGTGTCTAGCTAGGACTATGGGAGTGAGCCCTGAGTGGCCAGCTGTTTTTTGAAGGCTTATCATGGCATGAGGTTTTTCGATGAATGGCATTAACAGGCTTATTTCAAAAAACTAAAAACTGTCATTGTGAAACAGTATTTACTGCAATCATAACTTTGTACATGAGTTAGGACGGGCCAGCCCACCTGGCTGGGTGCAGGCCAAGGAAAAGAACGCAAATTATTTTCTCCAGGGAAGGTACAAAACAATCCCTTTGGGAAGACTCTCTGAACGATTGTTTCCATCAAAAAAGCTAAGGGACAGGGCTCAGAGCCCGAGTTCAAGCCCAGTATCGGCACAAAAGAAGGAAACAAACAAAAGTACATAACAATAGAAATCATGGTGCTATTCAGGGATCCTTTGTAGAGACCACCCTTCCAACCTCCTCACAGGGCCCCCCGAAATTAGCCTTTAGACACCCCACCCCGAAGCTCCAGGCCCAACCCTTAAACTCAACCTCCAGAGAAAACAAGTCCTACACTGAAGGCGCAGGTGGTGAGCCAGCCATCACTGGAGCCGGGAGCCAAAAGGATGGGCGTTCCCCTGAGAATTTAGAACCAGTCTTCCAAAGGGCACTGTGACATGGGCAAAGGCCGTCCGGCAGCTACTGACTTCATTGAGTTTTCTGAGTCGTGAGTGTATTAATTTTTGTTCAGTAACACGCTGCCAGAGAATAAGTGATGTGTGTGTGTGTGTGTGCTGGCACTGGGACTTGAACTCAGGGCCCAGTGCTGGCTCTCGGCTTTCTTTTGCCCAAGGCTAGGGCTCTAACCACATGAGCCACACCTCCACTTCTGGATACTTTGCTGTCCCTTAGCGTTTGTTCTCACAGCTGGTACGCTACCACCTGACCACACCTGCAGTCCCAGCTTTTTGATGATTAACTGGAAGTCAGAGTATCACAGAATTTTTCTGCCTGCCCTGGCTTCGAACCAAAATCCTCAGATCTCAGCCTTCTGAGCAGCTGGGATTATAGGTGTGGGCTACCAGAACTGGCTTGTGTGCATAGTTATTATTGGTATCAGTATCAGCATGAAAAAAAACACACCTATCAGTGGTATTTTTCTGTTTTGTCTTTGCAGATGCACCTTCCTTACTATTCATAGAAGGTGGAGCCATAGGGAACCTTAGGAAGTGATTTTACTGGAACAAAGATCTCACGTGAGAAGTATAAAAACAATACATTATTGGGCCCCATTTCTTGCTGTAGCGTTACAAAGGAGTCTGAGGTTGGGATGGGAACAGGGGAGAACAGGAGAAGGGGTCACAGGGAGCCAAATGCCTCACACGCATAAGCCGACCTCTTAAAAGCCAGGGACTGGTGGCTCACGCCTCTCATCCCCACTACGCAGGAGGCTGAGAGCTGAGCATCACGGTTTGAAGCCAGCCTGGGCAGGAAACTTCATGAGACTCTTATCTCTAATAAACTACTTGAAAAAAAGCTGAGAGTGGCTTCAGTGGTAGAGCCTTGAGAAGCTCAGAGACAGCGTCCAGCCCAGAGTTCAAGCACCAGGACCAGCTGCAAAACCAAACCAAACCACAACACTGGACAGGGAGGTGTGGCTCGAGCGGACGTGAGAAAGCGTGGGTGAAAAAGCTCAGGGACAAACAGAAGTTACCCAAACTTAGTACATAAATGGACCAGCGAAGCTGGGCACGGGCGGCTCACGCCCGACATCCCAGCTACGCAGGAGGCTGAGGGCTGAAGATCCTAGCTCAAAGCCAGCCCAGGCAGGAAAGTCTGTGAGACTCTTACTTCTAGTTAATCATCAAAAAGCTGGAATGGGAGGTATGGTCAAGTAGTAGAGCACCAGCTGTGAGCAAAAAAGCTAAGAGACAGCACCCTAGCCCCAAGTTCAAGTCCCAGCACTGGCACATACACACCAAAAAAACACATGCAGTGCAAATGTATAGATATGGTCCAATGAGCCAGATTTACATCCATCTCTCTCTCTTTCTCTCTCTCTATATATATATGTATGTGTGTATGTATGTATATTGTTGGTTGTGGAGCTTTACCTCTGGGCCTGGGCACTGTCCCTCAGCTCTTCAGCTCACAGCAAGTGCTCTACCACTTGAGCCACAGCGCCACTTCTGGTTTTCTGGTTGTTAATTGGAGATAAGAGTCTCATGGACTTTCCTGCCAGGGCTGGCTCTGAACCACGATCCTCAGATCTCAGCTTCCTGAGTAGCTTAGGATGACAGGCGTGAGCCACTGGTGCCTGGACATATATTTGATATAAAAAGCCACTGAGCAATTAAAAGTAGCAAACACTCATGATGAAGACTAAAATCTTAAAAATGTGAAAACACTGACAAGAATTAGCAATTCATTTCCTTAGGATGATTCTGTATGAAATAAAAGTTAATTAAAAGTCTAGGCTGTTGTGCCGGGTGCTGGTGGCTCACGCCTGTAATCCTAGCTACTCAGGGGGCTGAGATCTGAGGATCGCGGTTCAAAGCCAGCCCGGGCAGGAGAGACCGTGAGACTCCTATCTCCAATAAACCACCAGAAAACCGGAAG